GCATCTGCGTCTCGTCCGGTCCTTTGGTGTCCTCGCTTGTACGGGGGACTGTTTGTACGCGGCATTTATATTTACTAATAACTCGTGTGTGTTACTCTATACAGTTGAGCGATCTATTTTGGCGGACAAAAAATATCACGGCCGAAAGTCCCTACTCTGCGCAGGCTATCATTGTGGCTTTTGCTAAATCTCAATTTTACTGAAACTAGATACAGCCCTTACAATAATGTCAAATTGACATTGCCGTTTCGACATTTTAAATAGGATAGATTTTGTTTTAGATGAATCGAGATTTACCGAAATTGCTGCAAGTGGACCTAAGTTCGGTTGCAGCAAATTACCTAAATCACGATTCAATTAAAACTAGTGTCTTAAGTCAATGTCAATTTGCTGTATGGGCTGGATTTAGATTTATTTAAATTAAGATTGATTCAAGTGGACCTTAAACACAAAATTAAAAATATATGTGCTAACTCATTTGTTATTGTTATACCTATTTGCATTTGTTTGTTTTCGTTGTAGTAACAAGAACTGTGTATTCTGTAAGAACAAACTCACCTTTCACCGCGGAATTCGCCGGTGTGATTTGAAATGTATTTGAAATTCGTGTTCTAATGTTAAAGCACACCGCGGGTTTCGAGATGAAATGTGAGTTTATTCTCATAGAATAGTACCAAGCTCTGTCTCAAACAGCGATAAGTACTATCAGTGCCGTCTTTGAGCTATTGGAGGCCCTGGGCATATTAGGATAATTGGGCTCCTATGACTTCCGATTGGTGATTTAACAGGAACTAGGGATTTGTATTTGGTCTGAGGGGGCCTCCTATCGATCGCGGGGCCCTGGGCACTTGCCCAAAGTACCCACTGGGAAAGACAGGTCTGAGTACTATTGAATAAGTAGGTATTTCGTCACGGTGCGGTGTTTACGTTCGTTACGCTGTGTGCGCTGTGTAAAGTCAAATAACTTTAAGTTTGGCTTAAGTTGATGCTGCTGGTTGGAAAAACCGCTGGTTCGATGGCGCAAGTGGTAAGCGCGTTCGGCTGCGATCGTTAAAATTAAGTAACTTTCGCAGTGGTCGGTCATTGGATGGGTGACCAAAAATTTACTATCTTTCACTCCTCCGTTCTTCGGAAGGCACGTTAAGTCCTGTACGCACTATCCATCTTGCTGGATCCAGCATGCGGGACAGCGCTATATACGTAAAAGAGATGGAAATACAGGATCTCTTTTACGCGTATAGCACTGTCCCGCATGCTGGATCCAGCAAGATGGATAGTGCGTAGAGGACTTTATGCCGTTGGTCTCGGCTGCATATGCAGTCGTTTTCACCTGCCAATCCGCACGGGGCCCGCGTGGTGGGTCATGGCCAAAACTCCCTATTCATCCATAGGGAAGGCCTGTGCCCTAGCACTGGGGACATTAATAGGCTGATGATGATGATGATGAGATTAAAATCGTCACGTAATGAGATGTAGACATAATCTCCAAAACTTTTATTGAGAATGAGACAAAACGTGACTTGATGAAGCATTCAATTAATTTTAATGTTTCTCAGTACGTCCGGCTCTAAATCCTCATCATTAGCCTACTAATCACCTCGAATGTACAGACCAGTCCAACCCACGCCGGGCCAGTGCAGATAGATGAGCGTTAAATAACGACCGCAAATGCAACGGCTGCCGGCCCAACATGAAATAATCAGCTCGGGATCAGTCTTTGATCCGCTTTAACTATTTTCGTAGCTACCCTTGTAGAATTAATTAAATGTCTAGATAACAGAATTTCTCTGGTTCAAAACTAAATAAATCGCCTACTCTGTAGATTTGTTTTTAATGTTTTATGGTGGAAGTGTTAATAATATACTGAGTATAAGGTCCATCACTACATTTAAAGTTAACCAACCTACAACCACGAATGAAACGTTTTTAATTATAAATATCAAATAAGTAACGGATATTATTATGGTCTCGCTTTTGTGATCTGATTTGCGATTTTCGTGGCACGTAATTTTAGATTTATGTGGGTCCATCTGAAGGTAAAATTGTAACACATGCTGTCACGAGTCAAAATGAGTTGTGCCTAATATTCGATGAAATAACATTAAACCGTGAAATCTGTGCGATCGAAACTACACAACTATTATTTGCCTCTCTCTAAGTACTTATGACATAGTTGATTATGGCGTAAGGTTTTTACAACCCGACACGGTATCCCACTTCATATGAATAACCGTCAGACTTGCTTATTCCTTTTAACACTTAATTTTAATTACTGTTATTAAAGAGACTCTATTTTATAATTTGTATTTTGATAGTTTCCTAAGCATGGAATTATTGATTTCAAGTAAAAAAATTACCCCTTTTTTTAAATTGTAGTTAACTGTGTTACTTTACTTTGTGTTGATTTACAGATTATCTATTCTCTATAATTTTGCTTAATTATTTATCTCTATTATCTACTTGGGCGGGTGCGCGGTAGCCCCAGCACCATCCTGCAATGCTATTCTGTAAGAAGAAAACTCACTTTATACCGCGGTATCCGCGTGTGTTTTATTATTAGAATACGAATTTGTATAATGTGATTTGAAATTCGTACTATAATTACAAATCTCACCGCGGATTCCGCTGTAGAAAGTGAGTTATTTCTTACAGAATAGCACTGCTGACTGCATGCAGTCAAATAGGCGAAGGCATCATAGGGTGCCATCGGTGTGTTAAATATTTATTTATTTCTGCATGACGTCATTCTTGTTGTATGTACACTAAACTTGTGACGTCAGTAGTGACATTTTACGACTACGTTGTTTAACATAATAAAGTTACGCCTACTTGAAATTGCAGGATATTGAATAATTCACTAGAGGATACCTATGTTTTATTAGATTCAACGTACTATGGGCTACCGCATTAATCACTTTTATTGTGTTTTATAACTTCGATTAAAATTTTCATGCATTTTGTATGGAGAAAATATGTTGCTATAGGTATTGTGATGCAGCGTAAACGATCATAGAGCATAAGTGGACTATCAATTCTTAAACGGATTCTGAACTCTTAGTGAAACAAACACAGTGAAATAACACTACCTGCAGTACTATTCTTTAATAATAATAATTTATTTATAAATGATTTGGTTTACAATAGTTAGTGGTAGGAGTCCCCTTTTATGCAAATCAATGCTTGTGCCAGGTGACTCCACTCCTCCATAACATATCCATATTTTATGTAAATTATACAAATTTAAATAATATTTTTTTATTCTATTTAGAACTTAGATATAAGTTTGCCTAGGCATGAATACATGCATATGCCATGAGTGTATGTGTGTATGCATGTTTGTTTGTGCTTGAGCGTATAAGTCGTGTTTAATAAGTCTTGGTGTGCGCATGATTGTTTTTGTGTGATCGTGAGTGTTATAATTTAATAAAGAAAGTGATTTTTAATTCTGTAAGAACAAACACGCTTTTCACCTCGGAATACGCGGTGGGATTTAAAATTAGTATTGTAGTGCGTGGAATGAAACACGCCACCGTGCATGGCACCTTTACCAACATTATGTCTTTGCCGCGACATGTACCACGCGCGCAAAAGCCAGTTCACGCGACGCAGTCAATGAGTGGTACACGGCCGTTTTTCTTTCCACACAGTTCGTACGAAATATTTGTTGTGTTTAACGATACATTACTTTACTGTGTTCTCGGTAAATAAATTGCACGAATTTAGAGTCACAATATCGGTCAATTTTATTTATTCAAGAGCCTACAGTATAAGAATTTCACACCTACCGGTGAATTCCGCGGTGAAAAGCGAGTTTGTTCCTATATTATTTTTACAGAATAGCACTGCTGTTAGTATGTGTGGAATGTCGATGGCTGGAGCGGCACATTTTTCTTCCGCGTCAGCTGTTCTTGCGAATGGACTCCTCACACACTTAAAAACAGATGTGGTGATATGTATTGTTAAGAATTGAAATATAAAGATAAGATTTGTTTCTAAAATTTCCATGTACACCACTTAGTAATTTGATTTGTTCAAATAATTCGTTGCTAGAATAAACCTAATCTTATTTACATAAAAAACGATGAAAGAGTGTCTTATTGACAAAATGGTGACGTTTCATGAAATCACGATGCAAGTGAAACTTTTAAAATCATTAGTAAAAATGTCTTTCCTCGACTGAAAATCGAACCCGGGACGAGATGAGCTTTCTACCACTGAACTACCGACGCTTGTTAGTAAAGTCTGAATTTTAATAACAATTAATAATATAATGCGAAATGCTTAAGAGGAACGGAAAAAATTGGGGCAATAGGTATAATAAAAGTTTCACTTTAAAAATAACTAAGAATTTGGAAACAGTTAAGTCCAATATTGGTGTCAATTCATGCATGATTCTCTAAAACTAAACTTAAATTTGACAACAGTGTAACCTTTTCATTATCTATACAGAACATAGAGCAACACGGCCGATGCGGCCAGGAGGGGAGTAGGCATACACAGCTTTCCCCTCTGTCGGGTTGGGCATACAAACGATACGTGCAGGATTTGAAGACATACAGAGCGTCCCACGGCTACCTCACACGGAGGGAATCAAACTCGTGAAATATTGAAAAAAATAACACGGCATATTTTATGATAACCATCGAAAGGGTTAATCATAAGGATTATTTTTTGCTTAATAACAAAGCATTTTAAATGAAACGAATGTGAATTACGTGATAAAAATAATAAAGAAAGTCATTGTTTATGTGTGAGTGTCGTAGTTACAGTTTTGTTCTATATGCATGTACGTTAAACTGCATTTGTGTGCATATTCCCCCGCAAAAAAGGACAGAATGATTTGAATAATATTATGTCACTATTGCTACTCCCTTCCGTGTTGCTCTATGATACAGAATGAAAAGGACAGACTGATGTTAAATTTAGTTTTCTTTGTAAAGTATCATGCCATAATTGATACCAATAATGGCTTATAGTCGCAATACGACATGAATACTTACGTCAATAGGGTTAGCTTGTGCGATATTAAGCAGTGCGAGGATGACCAGTGCAAGGGCCCGCCTGCACGCTCTCCTGCTCAAATTGACTCCATGCTTCAGTGACGTCATTATGCTCCTTTCACATTTACTACACACTTATCACTTCACGAACACAACGTATTGCAATGGCGCACATTTCTCAGTCTTCAACGCTGAAAGAACGCGTTACAACCAAGATTATGGACTTAGCTTGACTGGTTGCCTCGAATTTCTCATATCGCCGCATTTGCGATGCTGATAACATTGGTTTTATACATGTACGCATTTGACACACTGTTGTTTTAATCATTAATATGGTTTTGCGTTCAAACTGAAGTCAATAATACGTGCAAAAAACTTAGCAGTGTAATTTGTTCGGCATTCCAATGAACGCATTTATTCACGGAATGAGATTGCCTTGAATATTAACATAATGTTCGCTGGAGCTATCCCAAGTCCATAAATGAACCAAAGAATTTAAATGTTAGGGTGATTTATTTGTTGGCGTTCCATTAACGCACTTTTATGCGATATAATCTTGACCCTACGACTTTATTTGACGTTGGAAACCTCTATTTTATTTATATCCATGATTAGGGGTCATCCATAAGATACGTCACACGAATTTCATGATTTTTTGCCCCTCCCCTCGTCCTTGTCACAGCTGGTCACATTTGTGAAACTCCGCCCCTCCTTAGTGTGACGTCACATATTTTTCATATTTACATTTAGAAATTATTCAATGAAAACAGCGGTTCCGATCAGTTTTATTGCCATTTAAATTATTCTAGAAGTGAAACTTCGTTACGCTCGCTTGACTTGGGGATGAGCTGGCGAATGCTTTACGCGTTACGAAAAGTGTGATTGGGCGAGGCGAACGGGAGTAGGGGATATAAGCAAGAGAAAGCAGTATGCGGGCACATTTTCTTTCTCTCTTTCTCTTATAGCTATTAAACTATATATTGTACACTCACACACATATATATATATATATACAGATGGAGCTTAAGAAGTGGCTTCACTTCAGTCGTCCCCGTCCCCATCAATAATCAAATCAAACTTATCAAAACAAAAAACTATTAATTCTATTAATTAAAGAAATTATCACAAAAAAAATATTACTATATAGCATTATATTTAAATTAAAGATACAAACTTAATAATCTTGAGTCCATGGACATTGAACCCACTCCTTTAAACTATTTATAAGTGGCATAGCAGCCACTTTGTTCTCGTTTAGGTTGTTAATGTTTTCTTAAAGTAATAGTTTAAAGTTCGTGTTTTAACACTTAAATTATAATAGATTTTGAAATGGGACGTCACGAAATTTAGGAACGCTCCCACCCCCTTGTCACACGATGTCACACATCGTCGACCCTCTCCCTCCCCCTTAATGTGTGACGTATTTTATGGATGGCCCCTTATGATTTCACGCACGAAAGAGAAAAAAAATCGCATACCGACTTGCAAAGATTTCACACTCGCAAATAAAAGAGATGAATATTAATTAACAAAGAACTGCAAGTTCCAAATGTTAATTATATTCTTGTAAGCAGTAAGGGGGGTTTCTTAAGAACATGCTAATAAATTCTTACGAATTGTAAAACTTTCATTTTAGTAGCTGATATTGGCGTCAAAACGTTCGACGACTTGCTCGCGTAGGGCTGCTTCCTGCAAAAGTTTATTAATTAAGATTCAAGAAATTACTCAGAATATCCTTCTTTAATATTCGCTACACATAAGCAGAGGGATTTTGATAAAATTTAAGCATATGTAAGAAAACACTCCTTTATTCTGCTCCACACTCACTAAAAGTTATAGTTCCACTAGCGCGTGTCGAAGGCTCCAACAAGACTGCGCTCCTCCGCTATGACGCTCCCTACTACAGTATTTGCCTGAATGGCAAAATAACTCTCGTACTTTTAGTATAGAAGAATAACCATAACTTACAAAACAAAGGACAATGGGCAAAACACACCCAGCTCCGCCAACAATGTAATTAGTATGAATCGATAGATCTATGAAAAACTAGCCTTTTTTATTATGACACCGTAAAAAAATATCCTGGTAGTCAAAAGATATGACACCGTAAAAAATATCCTGGTAGTCAAAAGATATAACATATATACACATGGGCATATTTAAGTAGCTAAATAAATTCATTTATAGTACCTTCATTTTATATTATTAGTAAACATAATAATATGCATATCGTACTATACCACCAGATATACGACAAAGCCTGCCGACCATCCTGCGCTTGCACTTACTGAGACACCTCAAAACGGTTTACGGGAGTTGAAGGACTTGCAGTTGCAAATAGTCAACTCGTCTTACTTTGTTGTGATTGTGCGCTCTCATGTCACTTGATTGGTTTTTATTTAACACGCAGTGACATTGGAACACAATTATCGGATTTGTCAATTAGTATAGATGAACTCTGGAATCATGTTTTAGCCAAAGCGTGTACAAGTTCGTGTGATTTGTGGTAACTCCATTTTACATAGAAGACAATTAACTATAACGAACAGAATGTTTGAAAAAACACCAACCCATGCGGGGATTTTTGGATTAACTCTAGAGCGGCAGAATAACATAAGGGGGCACCCTTGCACCTTGTGAAGTACTCCCATAATACCTGAGCCCCCTATGTAGGGTCGAACTAACTAAAAATTAATTCCCTTGTTTCATTAATGTTCGTTCGTTATAGTATTTGTACCTATTAACTTTAAAATAACTTAAGACCCCAGGGATGGAATTTCATGCGTTTTGGCTCATATGATCATGACTATAATACCTTTCAAAAATGTAGTTTAAGCCGTGGCGGACATAGGTGCAGCGTCCATACACTTTTGATCAATGTCCTTTTGTTATCATTGGTTATTATTTTGGGTAACCATACACATACTTCTTATAAAATCTAATAACAGTAACAAATTGGATAGCCAAGATGTACTTAGGTAGGTGCCGATGATAAACTTTTAAATTCATAGTTAATATACATACATAATAATGATAACGAAGGTGATATATTTTTTACGCACTTAAAAATGTTTGTAAAGGCTACATAGAAACGATACTGACTAAAGTATCGAACAAATTAAAACTCATAAATGCTTTATCTATTGGAACATTGGCACTCGCTCCAGAGTATTTTGTTAAATAACAAATGTAAATTTGCTGTACTCTTATTAAATCGCATGAAATAACACGGCTACAACATCTAATTTTTATCAGTTAGAGAATTCCAATGAAGTTCGATCTAGTCAATAATGGCTCGGCATCACTTCAGAACGCGTTGCTAAGTCGCCTATAGCGATGTTTTTGAGCTTCTCTTTGTTCTGAGTCTTTGACCTTACATCTGATAGAGAAGAAAACTATGTTTACCAAAAGCTTTACCATTATATATAGGGATGATGACCAACTTTTTCTTCTTCGTCTATCAGGTAGATTATGAAAACATATTGCACAAGTTTTTATTTTCTTTTTTCACTTTGAAAAGTCCCATCAGAAGTGACGTCACGAGCCCCCCTCCCCACTCATAAAATTGACTCGCTTTATCATTGTAATTTTTTGGTTGATTGACAAAAAGTGTCCATTATTTTCTGATAATACAAAATTTCGTTTACTTTTCTCCGTCATCCCTATTATAATATTGTCCAATTATTATAAATTTGTTATGATAATATGTAATTGTGATACTTATAAAAGAGAGTATGTATTATATCTTTCTTAATTAAATATAAACACGCTGATTTAATTCAAAGTATGTTATTTATATTCTTGAAAGAGTGCCGAGTGCCTATCCTATTGATAACTCTTTACTTCTAATTAAACAAGAATTGTTATCTGCATTATAAGCACAGCAGTTAGCAACACAATAGTAATACGACATATAAATATATATCTTTTTTCGGATATTACAAAGGTATTTACATACTTTTAAAATTTTACAGCAACAACATTACGAAAAAGTTTTCAGTCAAAGAATAAAATTAGCTCCTCCCTTCCTCTCCAAATCCTTTACGGAAATTGCTATGCTTAATTACACTAAGGAATAACTTTGTTACGGGCTTATTCACAAGACCTTGGTACAAAATTAGTATTTAAACCAATTTCTAACAACTCCACTTCATAACAGCTTTCGGCTCGGAAAGTGATCAGATTAACGATGTTATGTCAGCAAGCTAATTAATAAACTTACTTTTAAGAAAATTCATAACATCATTCCGAAAAGTGTGGAACAATATATTTTTTTATAAACTTAAAAACAAGGTTTTGAAATAGACTAAAATCAAAATACGTAAACAAACACTTGAGAATTGTTTATTTACCTAATGTTTATATTTTACATTCATTTATAAAAAAAAATAGTCATTAATGAATCTATCATATACATAGTATTACTTATCAAAGATATAGAATATTGATACGCTAACACATTATAGGTATGGGCTTATTTTCAAAATTTCACATTAAGCAATATCCCAGATCGAAATAAAAGGTATACACATGATAATACCGTAGCTTAAAAACTTTATAAAGAAAAATTGTACTTGCTAGCCCTAGCCAATTCTAGGTACTTCATTTCAAGGATTTCCACTCCGCAGGATACATCCATACAAACGAATTGTTATTAGCGCTATACATTACCCGAGCTGTTGGCAGCACTTCCAATGCCCCAGTACTCTGTTACGAATTGCAGCCGCGTTTATTAGGTTACACCCAACAATAAGCCAAAATACGACCCTTTTTCCCAACGAACTTTAAGCTTTATCCCTCCTGACATACAATTTACAATACATTAAGAATATTAAACACTTTGTGGCAATGCGTCGTTAACTGTACACAACGAAACGTTTATTAAGCATTTTAATGTTGTATCTTTCACATGTTTTTTTTTCGATGGTTATGAACCTTTCTGTTAAATCTACCGAACTTTAAGAGAATTGCAAAGGAGCTTAATATTAACCTAGAAGCATAATCATATTACGCAAACATCTACGAAGAGAAAGATGGTAAACAAAAGCTAATAGTGTGTTTATATTCCATTCCATCTACTGGAATAGTACTGCATTAAATGACGTTCAGGAAACTAACAGAAAATGACTGCTGTAATCAAATCTACAATCGATGGATATAAGTACATTGTTTGTAGATATTCAGAGCGGTT